CACCACACACACACACACACACACACACACACACACACACACACACACACACACACACACACACACACACACGTTCACACATACGCATGCATGTACATACACGCACATCCAGGGCGCATGGCGTATGTGTTTTCGACGGCGACGGAGGACGCAATTGCAACAGCGCACGACATACCAACGACAGTCATCCGATCAAAGGCAGAGGTGGACGCCCGCGCAGACAAGGAGCAGCAGCCGGTACGCACACGTTTGTGTCTGTGTGTGTATGAGTGTGTGTGTGTGTGTGCGTGGTTTTGGGAGGGAAATGGCCTCATGATGTGGAACAGATTGGGAGGATCTTGCAGTGTGTGGGTATTTCTTCTGTGCGTCTGTGTGTGTGCTTCTTGTTTTCTCATCTTCACCGTCGCATACACAAACGCCGCTCGTGCACACGCCAACACGCAAACTTTCCTTTGGCAGGTGACGACCAACGACATTGTGATCAACAAGTTGACGGAGATTTTGTCGTACATTCGCACGGGCCAGCGCGGCCACCGGCGCCGCCGAAAGAAGAAGGACAAAGCTGCTGCTGCAGCGGCTGTTGCGTCCACCAAGCAAAGGAGGGAGGACTTGCCAGAGGACATTCGCGCCGCTGCGGACGTGGACATTTTCGCCGACGCCGGCGACAACTACAAGCCGCGCGTGAAGAGTGAGTGAGTGTGTGTGTGTGTGTGTGTGTGTGTGTGTGTGTGTGTGTGTGTGTGTGTGTGTGTGTGTGTGTTTTGAGTGTGTGTGTGTGTGTGTGTGTGTGTGTGTGTGTGTGTGAGTGTATGCGACACACGAACCTGTGGTGGTTTGCGGGTTACCGTCTTTCCTATCGCATGCGTGCTGCTGGACTCACATGCCCAATTTGTGTTGTGTCATCTGATTAGAGGACAAAGGCCTGGAGCGCAAGCGGGTCGTGAGATTCAAACTTCCCGGCGAGACAGATGAAGAAGAAGATGAGACAGAGAAAGCAGGCGAAGGCGACAACCATAAAGGTTCAACAGCCGGGGCAGCAGCAGCAGCATCAGCAGCAGCAGTACACAAGGAGGAGGGAGAGGAGGATGAACTGGGCCCTGCACCAGGTACAAGGCGGCGTGGGGGGGGGATTGATTGCTTGTCGAAGGAGACACCTGTTCTCACTTGCGAGCTGTCTCTGGTCGTGTGACTCATTCGCTGTTACAATTGTCCACCATCACCATCACCATCACCAACATCATCGCCATCACGTTGCGCAGGCCCTAGCATGCCACCTGGGCCATCAATGCCTGGTCCCTCCATGCCACCTGGGCCATCAATGCCACCCGGGCCATCAATGCCACCTGGGCCATCAATGCCTGGTCCCTCCATGCCACCTGATGGGGACATGGAGGAGCCGGCGTATCCGGACATGTTTGATATGGACGACGAGGAAGACGAGGCGGAGGCTGCTGGTGCACAACACCAACATCAACAGCAGCATCAACAACCACAACAGCAGCAAGGCGGTGCCGATGGTGGAGAGGAAGAGGAGGACGACGATGAGGAGGACGAGTTTGAGCAAGCGCTTTCGGCGAAGAAGAAAGAGCGTGAGCAGCAACAGCAGCGTGTTGATGCAGCGCAGCAGCAGCAGCGACGACACATCAAGGCCGCTCAGGCCATATACGACATTGAGGAGGAGGATGACGACGACGACGATGACGAGGTAGAATTGTGTGTGTGTGTGTGTGTGTGTGTGTGTGTGTGTGCGTGTGTGTGTGCAGAGGTGGGTAAGCTTTGTCTCATGACGACTCAACGTGTGTCACTGCAGGCGAGTGCCAAGCGGCCGAAGCTGCTCACAAAGCTCAGGCCAATGGAGGCCGCGGAGTACGACGAGGTGCGCGCTTCCTCTCGTGCAGCTGCACATGTGTGTGTGTGTGTGCGTGCGTGTGTGTGTGCGTGCGTGTGTGTGTGTGTGTGTGTGTGTGTGTGTGTGTGTGTGTGTGTGCCTTTGAACGCATGCCTTGCTCACCACGTCGTCCTGCCCTCTGCAATGGCCATGACGCACCAGTTCTACGGCATGGAGGACGACATGTTCACGACAGCGATGGACGAGAGCGGAGACGAGGACGAGGACGAGGATGGCGCAAAGAAGAAGAAAAAGAAGGCAGCAAAGAAGGCCCAGCCAACGTGTGTGTGTGTGTGTGTGTGTGTGTGTGTGTGTGTGTGTGTGTGTGTGTGTGTGTGTGTGTGTGTGTGTGTGTGTGTGTGTGTGTGTGTGTGTGTGTTTGCTGGATCCCGTGTGCGTGTTGTACCCCCGTCCGCGTGTGCCTGTGCTCTATCATGAAGCGGCACAGCAGCAAGATGCGCACCTTGCCACACCGCGTGACGTTCTCACGTTTTGTGCTCGCGTGCAACACACACGCATGCCTTCCATGCCTGCAGGCAAAAGCAAACCAAGCAGATGGAAAAGCAGCGCCTGGAGCGGGACATGAAGCAACTGGATGTGGTGCGTGCGAATGCTGTTTGCCTGTGCTTGTAATCGACACCATGCAATGCGATGGGGTGTGATGGCTTTGGTGTGGCGTGCGACGATGGTCTGGTGTGACTCCCAGCACGCTCACGCGTGTCGATTGATGCTGTCGTTGGTTGCGTGTCGTGCAGATCTTGAAGGAGCGTGGCTCGTCTGGCATCTACAAGGGCGACAAGGACTGAGCCCACCACTGTCGTGTGTGTGTGTGTGTGTGTGTGTGTGTGTGTGTGTGTGTGTGTGTGTGTGTGTGTGTGTGTGTGTGTGTGT